GAACTTAAATGATTTTAGCATATGGCTGCAATATAACAAAGAGTGAAAAATTTAAGGGGGTCTGAATACTTTTCGTACCCACTGTATATTATTGTTATCATGCAGAAGTGGATGTGTCTTTACTCTGTGCTTATCCCATCACTGCTATAATCTGTTATCCAGACAAATGTAGCCAGATCATTGATAAGAATACTTTGCTGGTGCAGCAGTTTTACAAAGTATCACGGTTGCACAGTTTACTGAAACCCTTGTGCATGGTAGAAATATGTTTTCATGGGGTAAGGGTCTGTCAGTGTATAAATCAGATGCTGAACACATATTGTTCATGCAGCCAGACATCGATGATAGTGAGTTTGCCAGCCTGACTGAAGGATGACAGAGTCACTGATGGCTGACATGATCTGTGAGTGACTGAATAACCTGTTTGGGACAGGAGGAGAAGACGGGGAACACAAAACTAGACAGGTGTAGATAAACTATAGATTCTGCTGAGCGGCCCCTGACAGTGGGAGCAACCTGATACTAGATTAGAATGTGTATTCTGGGATGGTGATGCAGGCACTTGATTTTCCAAGAGTCTGTTTGATAATGTGGTATCGATTATGTGATTTCAGTTATACTGCAAATGCATAAGGAGGATTGAACTCCATCAATCCATCCATCTTCGTCCTCTTTATCCGAGACTGGGTCATGGGGGCAGTAGTCTGAGCAGAGCCTCCCAGACTTCCCTCTCCCCACACACCTCCTCTAGCTCCTCAGGAGGAACCCCAAGGCGTTCCTAGGCCAGCCAGGAGACATAGTCTCTCCAACGTGTCCTGGGTCTGTCCCGAGGCCTTCTCCCGTAGGAACATGCCTGGAATACCTCCCTAGGGAGGCGTCCAGGGGGCATCCTAAACAGGTGCCCGAGCTACCTCAACTGGTTCTGCTCAACATGGAGGAGCAGCAGCTCTACTCCGAGCTCCTCAGGGGTGACTGAGCTCCGCACCCTATCCCTAAGGGTGCGCCCAGCCACTCTCCGCGGGAAACTCATTTCTGCCGCTTGTATCTGCGATCTCATTATTTCAGACCTGATCCAAAGTTCATGGCCATAGGTGAGGCTAGGAATGTAGATCGACTGGTAAATTGAGAGCTTCGCCTTACGACTCAGCTCCTTCTTCACCGCAGCAGATTGAACTTGATTGGATAAATACTTGAAGAAATCTTTTAAAAAGTCTTCAAACACAGGCTGTAGGGTGTTCACCCCCAGTGTAAAGTAGTTCTCCAAGGAGAGCAATGATGTGACAAAGTAATAACTCAGATATCACTTTTATGCAGTATCAGAAATTAGATTTTGACACCCAAACTCCGTACAGTGAATATGTTATTTGGTAAAGAAGTCTTACACGTATATAAGAGCCATATTAACTCTTATTAATTATGATAAAGAAAATTCATGTCATGGTGCTTATCTCTACTAGTGTTGTGTTTGTAGAAAATATCAGTCCTCCCTACAATGGAAGACCCAACAATGTGCTGGAAAACGTAGAGTTATTGTAGAGAACTAACATGTTTTGTCGACAAAGACTGTGGAGACAATGTAACTTTTCACCCTCTCCTCTCAGAATGAGATTTGGTGCAGTGTATGTTGATGCTTTTGACAGAAGTGCAGATGGAAAACTATTGGTCTGATAAACATGTATTAAAAGAATGAAATGCAGCAGCTCAGTAACATCAT